CATTAAAACCTATGACATGCTGCTGACTTTTGCAGCTGATCATGCCTACTTGCATACAATTGCTCATGGTGCTATCACATGTGAGTGATCGGTCTTGGACACAGGCAGTCTGCCTCTAGGGTCGATCACTGGCATGTGATCACAGCATGAGCGATTACTGTATTAGTGATTAGCTGTAAGAACTGGCAGCCTCTCATTGCTTTCAAAGGGGCTGCCTAGTCCCAGCTAATCACAGGAACCCCCACTGCGGTTCTTGTATGTAATTGTCGGCAGGGTGCATTTGCAAATTTGAATGCACCCTAAGACAGGAAATATCACAATCAATGGCTGAAAAAAAAACAAAAACCTGTAGAAACAAACTGATGCAGCCACCACATCAAAGGACTGGTAAACTACAATATAGTACATTTTGTTCTTTCGGTTTAGGTACACTTTAAAGTGGTTGTAAAGGTAGAAGGTTTTTTTACCTTCATGCATTCCATAGCCTGTAGTCTGATCAGGTAATTCTGTTTTTATTTTACTTGATCTATAATAGGCTGGTAATATATCTGTTTTATAACCCATTTTTAAGGGTGGATGTGGTGCCCACTGATGACATGATTGCTGCAGACTCTTAGGCAGATGTAGCTGAGCTGCTGTATGAAGTTACAGTTTGTGGTTATAGCACCTGCTTATGAATTAATAGACTCTGTTTTCGGATGAAGTGACAGACACCATACATCACTGAGACATGGCAAATTACCAGAATGGTTTCTCTGCTTCTCCGCTAGGCAGCTTTTCAGTGTAGTGTAAAATCAGCTGCATAATCTCTTTTATGGTGAAGTTATATCACACTGAGATTTTAAAATGCTGAAAGATACCCTAAAGATGGCCATACACATGGGAATCTGATCTTTCAGAAACCAATAGACCCTCAGACAAGCTTCTCTGCACCCAGGCAATGCATCTACAGTTCACTGAACACCAAGTTTTGACCATTACTCTGGAAGTAATCAGAAGCACAAGGGTTTTTTTTCACTGCCATGAAGGAACACCATTGTCATTCTAGAATGACAGAAGAATACTACTTTTTTAGTCAAGGAAAAATCCATACATTTTGCATTTTTTAAATGTGTGTCTATATTATGTCCTGTGGTCTATCATAAAAATCTAAGCTATTATGATGCGCCACAGTAATATAATTTAAAAGCTAAATTAATAATTGCAACCATTTTTGCAGGTAAAAAAAATGTGCATTTATATGTTTTTTTAAATCAGCCTACAAAACACTGCAACTATGGTCAGAGGATCACTGGAGCAATGCCAGGTTCCTGCAGACTCTTCTTCCAGCGCCATGTCTTTATCAAGGTTCAGACTTTGAATTAGAGAGCTGGAGGAAGTGTCTGTGGACTACAGGACTTGTAGTTTATTCATTTACAGATCTCTGGGGGTGTAATATTTTCCTTCATGATACACGTTACACCCTAAAGCTTGCCATAGATGAACAGAAATTGGGCCGGGACCAATTTCGATCCATGTATGGTCGGGCCTGTTCCTGTTCGACAGAAGTCGATCATTAGAATGACTTCTGTCAAAATGAGAATATTGAAAAATTTTTATCGATTAGTGGCTGCAGCCTGCTGGCTGCATGAAAAAAATAATCGACTATGGCCAGCTTAAATGTGGATGTAACATATACCAATTCAAAAGGTGAGGTTAGCCTTTAAACCACACATTTGCATTCAATATGCAATCCTGGCCTTTCTACTTCACTGTGTGTTCCCTTTCATGTGAATGTAGCACTACCCCTGCAGGAGTTGCTAAATTTTGGGTCCCCCTATAGTCCCGCACAGTCAGGCAACATGCATTTTCTACACAGACTTACATCCAGGAGACAGTAACCAGTCCTTGAGCTTGTTTTGTTTTGTTTTTTTTTTTTAGGGGAATTCAACTTGGATGGGGTAAGGGGTCTATGGGATGCCAAAGGGTAACGGCAATGAAGGACAAACTTTCCTGGAACATTACGTTTACGTTTTAAGTCTTTACGGCAAAAATTCTCTTCTGGAGAGCTAACCAGCATCTCTTGTAAAACCATCCCAGACCCCAGATCCTCCTAACCCAGCTGTCCTGGGTGAATCCCCGGGCAGGGGATCCACTATCTGCCACTTTAAAAGAAAACAGTCCAGGGTAGTAAGCTAATCCAGTTTCCCACTGCAGTGCTCCTTCCCCTTGCTGGCCCAAGGAGTTCAGGTCTACACAGTCAGTCCTTCTCCTATGCTGCTGGTTGGTCATTGGCTGCACCTTTCCTGCTGCATAGGTAGTCCTCACTCTGGGGGCTGATAAAGTTCTGAGTTTTCCTCCTTTCAAGCTTCCTTGCCTGTAGGTGAGCCCTTTCTCATCTGGGCTGCCTCTCAGGCTCCTGCTCTCCAGCTTCATTTCTCCATCTTCCACCTGAATTCTCCCTCCTGCTGAGCAGGCTCTGTCACTTTTAAGGACTGTCCTGGCCCCATGCCAAGCCTCCTGTTGGGAATCGGCCAGGATCCCTAAAGAGTGCAGATCCTTACCTCCTCCCACTGCTTCCAGAACTTTCCCCAAAGTTCTAGTGCAGGGGGAAGTCCCAGAGAGCTGATCTCAGAGCCTCTCAGCTCTGAATACAATTCGACCCCACTCTGACTGTTGCACCTGGGCTGCTACTCAGCACCTGTCTAACAATTTGTGATCTAGCTCCCCCTAGCTACCTAGGAGTGTGCTACATGTATTTAGGCAACATGCACACTGGTGCACTGTCCAGCCCCGCCACCAGCAACCTGTCAAAATATAGGACACGTTGAAATATGTGACAGCTGTATGCAGCTGGACAGTGTACTGAGTCTTATGCATGTTTAGGGCCATGTGTGTTCAGGGATGTATGCATTGATCCAGTGTTTCAGGCATACATCCCTGGATGCATGAGGTCCTAAATGTGAGTACCACTAAGTACAGTGTCCACCTGTCGTGTATTTCAGCCTGTCATAGATTTTGACAGGCTGTTGGCAGTGGGGTAGGAGACTCATGGTCTTCCCAGGTGCTGGAAAATGCTACGATTTGACACACATGGCTTAAGAATCCAGTGTACATAAGGCCTTACTTGTTTGGTCTCACTGCTATCAGAATGATGCACTGGTGTGTGAAATCCTAGGTTCGACCCAGCCATTAGAATTGGCTGGTCCATATAAGAGGTAAGAACTCTGCTCAGACCAGGTGAGGCACCACATCCAAAGGTAATTGAACAAATGGAAAGAGTTCATCCCATATCTTTTCTCCATAAATCAAGTAGCATGAAAATGACTATAGTAACTTATCGGGAATGTCTTTGAAAACAGGAGGCGGTTACTGGATGGCCAGTGTGCTCCTGCCAGCAGGATAAAATGATGGCATAGAGTTTATTTCTCTTTTTCTTTATTTTTATTTTATAGCAAACAGTCAATATTTCTATATGCCATTTTCTTGTTTTTTTATTTTGTATGTAGTACTCTCTTGTGTACAAAGTTTGTAAGTGTAATTAGAGGCTTGCTAGAAGCCTGGGTGTAAGTCAGAGGGTTTACTTCAGGTCACACTGGAGGGCTCCACAGGTCAGGCCTCTGCTACCTCCCCTTGGTTCTGGAAGCTTGGAGAAGTTTCTAGAAGATAGTGGGTGGAGGCCAGAAGGTGCTGATCTGCATATTCATGGGAGTCTGACCAAGCCCAAGGCAGGAGGCCTGGCAGTGTGGCAGACAGGCCCACAAATATGAGAGATCCTGGCCAATAGGGGAGTCAGATGGAAGATGGAGTGCTAAGGTGTGCTGCTGTGTAGCCTGGGAGGGGACCCCAGAGAAGGGGGGGGGGGTTCTGCCTCCAGGCTGGAGGTCAGAAGGGTGGGAGAAGAAAGTTGATAGAGGGAGCTCCACTGCCCTACATTCCACTGAGGAAGGTCAGCCTGCAAGCTTGGAAGGAAACCAGCCCAGTGAAAAGCCTGAAAGCAGGTTATCCAAAGCTACAGGACACAAGGTCAGGTGTGAGTACCTCTACACCCCCAGGGCCTACAGGAGAGAGGGCTGTTAGCTGCTATACCCATCCAGTTCTCCCTGGGACAGTTCTACAAGTCTGTTCTAGAATCTTTTTCTCTGTGATACACTTCAAAGACAGCCAGGTGGATGGGCAGTTTCTAGCTGGGGACCTACTGCTCATTACAGAGACTGTGTTAATGATCTGCCAAGAGACTGATGCCACTCCGGACGCAGTAGAAAGTCCAGGATTGTTGTACAGAATTTAGGAGGTTTGTCCTCAGAGTATCGGTTTCAAGTAAAGTTGACCATCCCATATACCCCTAGACCCTATCCAAGTTGTTTACCCCTAAATAAAACAACATAAACGAGCCCATGGGCTGGTTTCTGACTCTGAAAGAAAGTGCAGGAAATAGGGGGGCCCAAAACCATTGCCTCTCAAGGGCATAGCGCTACATGTAATTTTTACTTCTGTAAATATTTCTATGCACTGTGTGCCCAGGGATATTAAAAATTAAAAGATTTAAAGTTAGAATTAAAATTCAAAACTTTTAAAGAAATTGTTGCGTCATTGTAAATTTGCTGTTAATCTGTGTGAGATTGCATCATGTTGCTGCACCCTCAAATTCCTTGTATTTGAATTGCATGTAAATTAGCGTGTGAACAATGTCATATCTGCCATAGGTTGGGATAGATCTCATTGTGTGTATCTGTGCATGCGCATATGGTTACCTAATAGACCAGTCAGCTGACAAACTGTAGGTGGTAGCAAGGTACCCCGAGTCATGTGTCTGATATGTGTGGACAGTGGAAAAGGTGTAAGTGTGCAAGCATTTCAGCTCCCAGGATAGCTTGGGGAATCTCACAAGCATGTGCAAATTACCTATCTGCTACACAATCCTAAGGACTTGTTCACATATACTGCTGCCCTTCTAAAAACTGATATGCAGTAGATTGCTTTTCAGAGAGTGATGGTAGTGAGGAGGCAATATGTCCCTGCCCAGCACCTGCTTTAACCTTTACCATTGTTACAACCAGGAGCGGACTGACCATTTGGAAACTCGGGCACTGCCCAAGGGCCCGGGGTCAGTAGGGGGCCCCATGAGATGCCCCTGGTATCTTTTTCATAGGCTTTTTTTAATTTGGGCAAGGACACAGGGGCCCCATGATCCCCTATTGCCCGGGGGCCCCTGGAGTTGTCAGTCCGCCCCTGGTTATAACAACAGCCATAGAGTGCATCAGGTGGTATGCAACATTTTATCTGCCTGTGTATGTCCCGCCAGCTAGATTGTGGGTGAGTTTCCCACTAGAGGTAGCTGATGGTATTGCAGGCAGTTATACCTGTTTCACAACCTTGTTTTACCTTCCCAAATCAAACCCTCTCCTAGTCCCTCCTCCCCCAAGCAAGGATCTTGCTCTGGTTAGCCAGTTGCTCTGGGTATGATCTCCTGACAGCTTCCCAAGCACCAAAACCTCAAGGATAAAGTGCTTATGCCTCTCTGTCTATCAGACAGCACAGCAGTGATGTGAGTGGCCAAAAGAAACAGAACTGAGCAACATGTTGGCACCATAAAAGAATAAAAAGGAAAAAAAAAAAGAAAAGTAAAGGAAAAAAGAGAGAGGGAAGTAAAGAAAGGAAAAGAAAGCAAAAAAAAAAAAAATGACGCAGAGGTAAAAGGAAAGAACAGAAAACAAATAAAAGAAAGAAGAAAGGTTAATTTAAAAATCTTTGAAGTGTTCAGTCATTAGTCAGTAGAATGCGCAGATCTCCTCAGCATGCAATAAGTCAGCAGGAATTTCTCCCTAATAAGTCGAACACTTATGATGACTTTATACTCTGCTGCTGAAGTGCGTCAGAGGACGGCTGGTGGGAGGAATATTGCTTTTTAAATGTTGTCACACTTGTTTATACTTCCGAAAGGGATTACAGAGATTAGAAGGGTGCTTATTGTAGAAATGAGTAGCAAATAATTGCTTAGGTGTGTTATGGATGCTGCACAGTGTAGGATGGGAGGTAGGAATGGGTGTATCAGCCCTTGAAATTTCCAAAACTGAGATGTTGCCTTTAAAGTGAACCTGTGCTTCGGCCATGCAAGCCAGGCAATGGATTTCCTTAATTGTCACCCCCAACTGAACTACTCTGTTTCCCCACCAGAGCAAAGATATAAAGCCCCATGTAAACTCCAATGTGGTCTAAGCTTACATAGAACTATGACCGCTCTCACCCATTCATGTGATGGTGCCACAGAAAGTGAAATCACATGGTAACCATATTCTCAGAAGGACTGAGTATTTCTCCTTACTCTGCCAGGCAAATGGAACAACCGGGTAGGGAGTGTAATGCGAGGGTCCTATAAATATGTGAACCTGATATTTTGCCTTGCAGTAGCAAGCCACAGTTTTATTTTAAATCTAATAATTTCAGTTTTTACAGTTCCTGGCTCTCATACAACGCATTCTGTACTCAAAGTATTGTTAGTATACAGCTGGTAAAAGGGGGCTCGGCAGTTATGTTGTGGGCACCCTAAACTTTAGGGGCCTGATACAGCTGCATTTGTACCATCTGTTGCCCCTGTATTTTAATAGGCACATGCAGTTGGTCCTCCCACCTGTAGGTGGCGTACTGCCATGATGGCATGGGAAGGAGAGTCTCATAAGGGAATTGGTCTCTTAGAGATTCCATACACTGCTTTGAGAGAGGAAGGTAGTCTGATTATATACCCAACTCTTGAGAGACTTTGGCAGCCATCTTGGCTGAGAGAACCTTTTAAACAAGGTACCCCATGTCATTTTGGCATGCTTCTGGTGAGTGTGTGGTAGGGAATGAACTAGGGATAGTTGTTAGCACAGGGTCAGGAGGGATAGCTCAGGGAAAGCTCCTTCTTCACTTCAAAGACTCAGATAAGTGGTGTGGAGGAGTGGAGCTGGTGCCGGCTGCAGAAACACTCTTTGCCTAATCAATGAAGGGACACTACCCCTGGTAACGGAAGCTGTCCTCATGTAACATATACTGTAAACACTGAGATTACATATTATCTGAATCGCTTCTATCGATAATGAAGAACAGTTTATCTATTGCTGCAACCAAATTATGAAGGAATTAAATAAAAGACATCAGTGCACTATAAACTGTGTGTGAATAGTTTCTCCCAATACAAGGTACCTAACTCAGGCCCTACAAATGTATATATGATTCCACTCACTTATGTTTATCTAAAATGCAAAAAAAAAGTTTCTTTGAGTGTTATAATGTTATTAACCTCTTCACGCTGGCGCCTCATGGCCCTGTAAGGGGTTTTCCGACGTCGGGAGGCATGGGCGGGGTTTTAGGGTCATGTGACTGCCATGATTCACTGTCATGGTGGTCACATGATCGGAAAAGGTCCCGATCGCAAGGGGAGTTTGGGACCTTTCTGTGAGACACCGGGCGCGCTCTCAGCACATATGTATTTTCAAATGGTATGCAAATATGCGGCTGCTCGGCGTCATGGCCCAGCTGCCGAGAGGCCACATACATGCATACAGAGAGCATCAAGGGGTTAAAGTAATTTTGAAATTAAAATAAACATGTTTTACCCACCTGCTCACCTGGTCCCCCAGCAGTGATCTTGGCTCCTCCTCTTCTTTGTGTGTCCCCATAGTAGACCATTTGCTATGGGGGCACACGGTGTCTGCTCACTCCCAAGCTGTGTGTCTATGGAGCCGTGCTCCATAGACACACAAAAGGACTTAGCCCCACCCCCCACTTCCTCCTCGCTGCATTTGATTGTCAGCTAATGGCTGCTGAAGAGAAAGAGAGGGGAAATGAGAAGCAGCCATGCACAGTGCTGGATCTATTTTCTCCCCTCTTTCCCTTCACACAGGGAAGAGGGGGAACATAGCAATAAAAAACATTATTTGCCTTAACGCAAGGAATGTATTAAGGTTAAAAAAAACGTTTTTAGCTTTAGTATCACTTTAAATCAGAACTAAACCTGTCCTGTACACTGGTTGAAATTTGTTCGCTTCAGCAGAGATCGACTGAATTTCATTCAGTGTGTGGTCGTCCCTGTTCAATAGAAGCCAATCATGCAACTGACTTATGTTGAAGGGCTATGTCATAACATTTTCCCTGAGCCGCGGCTGCAGCCAATCGGCACGTGTCCTACCAGACCTCATTTGTGTGGATGGAAGAAACTATTCATCTTTTTGTTTTTTTTTATTTAGCTAGAGGGCTGAACGAAAAAAACAAACTGTTTATGGCCAGCTTTTTCCCATGTACATAATGTCAGCAAATGACACAGAACGTTACAGAGGTCATAGAAACATACATCACTCACACCCCAGGGGCACACATACTGTAGGGATTATTTGGGTGGGAGCTCTTCAGCTTCCAGCATGTTAGGACTGTTGGAGGAAATCAAAGTATTCATAGGAAACTTACAAAGACACAGGAAGAACATGAGATTGTGGCACACATGGTGGATGGACAATCTGCTTCTTCTGACTATAATGCTCACAAATGCAGCTATCAACAATTCTTGCAATGATTTTAAAGGATACCTGAACCCAAGACCAACAATGTAAGTTATTGCATCTTATCAGTACTTAAAGTGCTTCTAAAGCTTAAACAGGTTTTACATTAATGAATTCTCTGCATTAAGGTACAAAAAAGTTTAGGTAAAAATATCACCCCCCCCCCCCCAATACTTACAGTACCTGAGCCCTAACTCAAACCAGTGCTGTGCCCATCTGTGGTGGTTCACCCCACTCTCACAGTCTTTGCATAGGCAGCCGGGGGCTGGGCTGAGCCATGCTCTCAGTGTCTATAGATGCAGGCAGCACAGCTTGGGATCAAGTCTACAGGTGTGCCACAATAGGAATCAGCTTCCTATGGTGTCACACTAAGAAGAGGAAGTGGAGGACTGGGTTGCTCTGTGCAATTCTATTGCACAAAGCAGGTAAGTATATCATGTTTAAACTAATTTTAAACTTTACAAGCACTTTAAAGGTCCATGTTGTGGAAAAATAAATGAATAAATGCATCAGTATTTGCAACAAAAAAAAATTGCATTGTTTTTTATTTTGCATATGAGCGTGCACAGTATTGTAATCTCAATGGGTGTGTATCACAGGTGCAATGCACAATCTCTTGAAGACTCTTCCTCCAGCTCTTTCTCCAAAGTATGTGTAGCACTACCCTCTTAGGCTCCCTGTCATTTTGGACCCCTTTCTGAAAGCCCAACCCTGCTGACACCACAGGATTCTTTTGACCAGAGTAAATTACCACCAGATCGTAGACTCACACACAAATTAGAGTAAACTGATATGAGGCTTATAGTAAACTTCAATGTGAGCTTAATTAAACGGCACAAAATGGTATTGCTAATTATTACCCTTAGCAACTCTAAGCAAAGAAACAACACATACAACAGAATCTCAATCAGTGTCAGCAGGCCTGCTTTTCAGGAATTAACCCAATACCCCAAACCTGAGGTGTTTTTAGTCCCCCTGCGAGCAAGGAAAAAGTTCACTCTGGGCACTCAGAATCTGATGGCAAGTTTAAATCTGAGAAGAAAGAGTTGTTTCCCCAGGGTAGTCAATGTCTCATTTAAGTGCAGCAAGGAATCTTCTGCGCGCTTGTTGGGGCCCAGTTGGTGCACAAGATGAAGGTAACAGTTCCTTAAAGAATTAATACAAGGAGAGGAAGAAGAAAGGAGTAGTCCTTTCCTTTTCAGTGGCACTTGACTTGGGTGTTGTCCCCTTTAATACACTGAGCAAGGGGGCAGCTTTAGGCAAATAGGGTGTCAAACAAACTGGCAGTAGGGCTTGTTGGCAAAGGGCAACTCCACTCTGGGCTGTTGTAACCATTGGCAATGGTGGTAGAGTTTCAATTAAGAGGGTAGACCAATAATTAAGGGAGCACTGATGTGATAAGGCCCGCAGAAGGCGTGCACTGCGGCCAGCTCTGATGATTGGAATGTGCTGCAAATGTGTTCAACAGTAGCTGCTGTGGGAACTAGGCCATAACACATGGTAAGTAAATGCAATGTCCACAACTCTGTGCAGGTAAAGTAGCAGGTATGAGGTGAATATCAGTGTTCTCTTGTATGGCTGGTGTATGGGACTTTCTCACCCGATTGGTAGCTTTCAGCAAGTTCTAAGTTCTCCCTATCTCTAGGGATGGGGGCCCCCATGGGTTTTCTGGCCTCACTTGCAGCATTCCATCCGGTCAACACAATCCGGGTCACCCGCTGGCAGGCTGCCTCGCTGAACAGGGTGGCAAGGGTAGCAGTCAGCGTCTCCTCCTTGCCTTTCTTCTCTCTAGCTTTGTGGCCTGGTCCGGTTCTCCGGCAGTCAGCACAACTCTCCCTCTACTTCTGCTCTCCAGCTCTCTCTCTTCTCACTTCCTGTCCAGTCTCCCCGGGCCTCTGTTTATAAATGCCCCCACCTACACGCTAGCTCCTCTGGGAAATGTAGTCCTCTGGTACACTGCTCCCCAGCAATATCCTGCAGATCAGCATACAAGGCTGCTCTGCAGCATGTGAGCACCACTGAATTGCAGGACACTGCAACCTGTTACGTTGCTTTTCCATAGATACAGCACAGTGGGTTTTGTCACCCTACGAAAGGAAGTGTGTTACTGGCAGGATCATCAGGTGAAAATAAAGGAAAAAAACCCATAAAAAAGAAAACTGATGCAGCCATCAGATATTAGCTCTGGTAAGCTGTAATTTATTACACTTTTGTTTTTGGGTTTTGATATGCTTTGTGTATGGTAATATTCTGTGGACGTTTTTGTGTTTTTTATTCCCAGCCTACTGGAAGATTTCTATAATAGATGCAACCCTTAATGTGATCTCTATCTCCTAAAAGTCCAGTTATTACAAATATTTCTTAGATATGTTACACTACTTGTACACCAACTCTCAGAATATCTGGCCTTACAAACAGAAACAAAAAGTATAATTCCTCCACCACTACACACTCTGGAAAAGTGAAAATTGGGCCAATAAGTTGATTGGGGTGTCCGCCCTGTCAGTTTTGTATTTGTGTTTCATACATTTGAAATCCGTGTTATTTTAATGATACCAGGCATGGATGTATGTCTGGGTATACACAGTGCAGCCTGGATGTGTGGGGAAGGTGTGAATTAGCAATGCTCACTGACATCTATACAGGATCGCAAAAACACAAAATCCAGGCGGGAAATAGGTCATGCTCCAAAGCAGACGCACTCCACAGAAACAATATTTATGCGCTGGGAATTGTGAGTGGGAGAACGCTCTGAAGGCCTTGAACAAATATGGCTTCTGTTTGGTTCACCTCCTTCACCTGTGTCAGACGGAAGATATGTATTTAGGAAACTAATGATTTGGGGTCAAGTTTTAATGTTTTGTTTAGGTTAAAATTGAGGTTTGTATCTTTTTTTTGCTCTGTATATGAAATCCTTATTTTACAAATAATCATATAATACAGGGTTCACCAAGGTCACTGCTAAAAGAAGCAAGAAATCCAAGAGAAGCGCTCAATCCCTGTATCCCAATCAAACCGACCAAGCCCAAGTCCAGCTTCTGCCAGCTCGGTTCCAACAGAGTATTAGTGACAGTCCGCATCATTGCAAGTTCTACTATAAAAAAAAAATTAATTGTATTGATACAAAAGGCTAAAAAGACAGCCTCTAAGAGCTAGGTATGGCTGTGGGTGTTTTGGGCTAAAACAAGTCAACTTTTCCTGCATGGCTGTGCAAGGCCTCACATATCAATAAAATATCACTTTTTTTTACACTGGAACTCTCCATGATGCAGACTTTTACTAATAACCTACTGGTGAAAGAAGACATAAAGAAATGAAGTTTTTGGCCCATGCACTTTGCATACAACTAGCACCATTTTTTAATAATGGCCAACCTGCAAGCATGCATTAATGTGCAATAAAGTGTATAGAAGCTAACAGTGAGCATAGCGGAAGCTGTTTCCTTTTGGACTATCTGTCTTTAAATAGGGTTAGGGCCTTTACATTTTAACGGACCAATGAATTGTATTGCACATCAAGCCATGTACAGCCGTGGTTAGCCATTGCTTTAAATGCTAGTGCTAGTTCACATGTATGTGATGCCCTGATGTGTGTTGCCTGTTTTGTAATGCATTGGCACATTTATGACAATGGCTGCACATAATTGTTCTTAATGCACATAAAAAGAAATGAAAAGGTGCGTTGAAGAGCGAGAAACCAGCCTTATACCCCAACATGTGTGCATTGGGCGTGCTCTGTGACTGTTTTGTCCTGTGGACACAGCTTATCACAGATCATGGTAAAGAACCAATCACAGCGGTCCTTTACCATGTGATCGGCTGTGTCCAATCACAGCTGGTCACATGTAAACAGACTTGCTGGTTATTGGCATTTATTTTCCTCACACGCTGTATCTGTGTCAGGAAAAGGGGAGCCGATAACTGGCCTTTCTGCAAGTACATTGTTTACACTGATAATCAGGGCTCTGATTATCAGTGCAGTCCCATCAGTGCCAATCAGTGCCCAATAGTGCAGGTTACCAGTGTTCATCAGTGCAGGTTATCAGAGCCCATCAGAGTGGCCTATCAGTGCCCAGCAGTGCCGCCTAATTAGTGAAGCCTCATTAAAGTGCACATCAGTGCCATCGGGTCAGTGCTGCCTCATCAGTGTAGCCTTATCAGTGCCTATCAGTAAAGAAGAAAAATTACTTATTTGCAAAATTTTATAACAGAAGCTAAGAAACCCAGTGGTGATTAAATATCACCTAAAGAAAGCTATATTATTTGAAAAAATTATAAAAATTTCATATGGGTGCAGTGTTGCATGACCACGCAATTGTCATTCCAAGTGTGAGAGCTCTGAAAGCTGAAAATTGGCCTGGGCACGAAGGGGGTGAAAGTAGTTAATTATGCAATTCATGACCAATTGTTTTTTTTTTTCATTTTTGTGGCAGGCCTCCTGACAAGTTTGAGAACATAACTGAATAATGAGCATCGGCACAGCCATTTGTAGTTTTCATTGAGAGAGCATTTGTTAGGGTGACAACTATCAAATGAGCAATTAAGGGATGGAGAGGGACAGAACATTGTCCCCTTATTACATGAAATGTCTGAATAAGGACCTTCATGGATCACCAGGAATTATACTAATGAAAGCTGCAGATGCAGAAAAAGATTTAAATTGCCTTAACATGTTTAAGATCATATGTTATTTTAGTGATTGGATTTAAGTCTACTTTAATTGAAAATATGTGTAGGGCAGCAATTATATGTGTGGAATCTGAGCATCAGATACTGAATTGTAGAAATAGACTTTTCTTCAGTACAACAGTTAATATTATCCTGGTAAACATGAAAATAGGCTGGTGTTGCACCTGTTGGCTAGAATAGGCAAATAGGAACTATACATATGCAAAATTTCATATTTACCTAACTAAAAATTAAAGATAAAAAAAGTTTCTTTTTAATTGTATGTTTTTTTTTCCTTGAAGAATATACACCAATCAACCATAACATTATGACCACTGGCAGGTGAAGTGAATAACATTGATTAACTAATTACAATGGCATCTGAAAGTGTGTGGGATATACAGTATTAGGCAGCAAGTGAACATGTTGTTCCTGAAGTTGGTCAGTTTAAAGCAGAAAAAATGGTCAAGTGTAAGGATTTGAGTGACTTTGGCATAGCCAAATTGTACAAGCTAGACAACTGAATTAGAACATCTCCAAAACTATCTCTTGTGGGATATTCCCAGACTGCAGTGGTCAGGACCTACCAAATGTGGTCCGAGGAAGGAAAACTGATAAACCAGTGACAAGGTCATGGGCAATCAAGGCTCACGGACGCACATTGGGAACAAAGGCTAGCACTTGCAGTCCAATCCAATAGAAAAGCTACTGTAACTCATATTGCTGAAAAAGTTGATGCTGGTTTCAATAGAAAGGTGTCAGAACACACAGTGCATCGCAGTTTGTTGCGATTAGGGGTGCATAGCCACAAACCGTCAGGATGCCCATGCCAACCCATCGCCATAGCCAAAAGCATCTACAAAGAGCATTTGAGCATCAAAACTGAGCCACAGAGCAATAGAAAAAGGTGGCCTGGTCTGATGAATTCAAGAATGGTTTGAGGAACACACCAATGAGTTTGACATGTTGACCTGGCTTTCAAATCCTACAGATCTCAATCCAATGGAGCATCTGTGGGATGTGCTGGAAAAACAAGTCTAATCCATGGAGGCCCCTTCTTGCAACTAACAGGACTTAAAGGATCTACTACTGACAGCTTGGTGCAAGATACCACAGCATACCTTCACAGCTCTAGTGGAGTCCATGCCTTGATGGGTTATGGTAGTTGGTCATAATGTTGGCTGATTGATGTATGTACAAAAGCTCTATATGTTCCCTTTAGGAAAAAGGTCAGATGTGCAGGTGCAATCTGACCACCTTCAATCACTACAGTGCGATTCTCTATTAACATGGAAGTGTCCATATTTATGCCTATGGAGGTAGAAAAATACACAGGCTGTCTTGGACACATCCATGCATTTTTTTGATACTCTACTGCTAAACTACATGTTACATATTAATCTACTTTAGATTGTACGCCACTTGGGGGTTAGAGACTGATGTGAATGTACAATATACCGGTATATACTGTATGTAAAGCACTGCATGAATTGATGGAGCTACAGTCATGGCCGAAATTGTTGGCACCCTTGATATTTCTCCAGGAAATCATGTATTTCTCACGAAACGTATTGCATTAACACATGTTTTGCTATACACATGTTTATTCCCTTTGTGTGTATTGGGACAAAACAAAAAAAGGGAGGAAAGAAAGCAAATTCGACATAATGTCACACAAACCTCCAAAAATGGGCTGGACAAAAGTATTGGCACCCTTTCACAACTGCGGATAAATAAGAATGTTACAAGCATGTGATGCTCCTGTAAACTCACCTGGGGCAAGTAACAGGTGTGGGCAATATAGAAATCACACCTGAAAGCAGATAAAAAGGAGAGACGTTCACTTAACCTTTGCATTGTGTGTCTGTCTGTGCCACACTAAGCATGGACAACAGAAAGAGGAGACGAGAACTGTCTGAGGACCTGAGAACCAAAATTGTGGCAAAATATCAACAATCTCAAGGTTACAAGTCCATCTCCAGAGAACTAGATTTGCCTTTGTCCACAGTGCGCAACATTATCAAGAAGTTTGCAACCCATGGCACTGTAGCTAATCTCCCTGGTCGTGGACGGATGAGGAAAATTGATGAAAGATTGCAACGCAGAATAGTCCGGATGGTGGATAAGCAGCCCCAAACATGTTCCAAAGACATTCAAGCTGTCCTGCAGGCTCAGGGAGCATCAGTGCAGCGCGAACTATCCGTCGACATTTAAATGAAATGAAACGCTATGGCAGGAGACCCAGGAGGACCCCACTGCTGACACAGAGACATAAAAAAGCAAGACTACAGTTTGCCAAAATGTACTTGAGTAAGCCAAAAGCCTTCTGGGGAAAACGTCTTGTGGACAGATGAGACCAAGATAGAGCTTTTCGGTAAAGCACATCATTCTACTGTTTACCGAAAACGGAATGAGGCCTACAAAGAACAAAACACAGTACCTACGGTAAAATATGGTGGAGTTTCAATGATGTTTTGGGGTTGTTTTGCTGCCTCTGGCACTGGGTGCCTTGACTGTGTGCAAGGCATCATGAAATCTGAGGATTACCAAAGGATTTTGGGTCGCACTGTAGGGCCCAGTGTCAGAAAGCTGGGTTTGCGTCCAAGATCCTGGGTCTTCCAGCAGGACAATGACCCCAAACATACGTCAAAAAGCACTCAGAAATGGATGGCAAAGAAGCGCTGGAGAGTTCTGAAGTGGCCAGCAATGAGCCCAGATCTAAATCCCATTGAACACCTGTGGAGAGATCTTAAAATTGCTGTTGGGAAAAGGTGTCCTTCCAATAAGAGAGACCTGGAGCTGTTTGCAAAGAAGAGTGGTCCAAAATTCCGGGTGAGAGGTGTCAGAAGCTTATTGATGGTTATAGGAAGCGACTGATTTCAGTTATGTTTTCCAAAGGGTGTGCAACCAAATATTAAGTTAAGGGTGCCAATACTTTTGTCCAGCCCCATTTTTGGGGTTTTGTGTGACATTATGTCATATTTGCTTTTCTGCCTCTGTTTTATATTTGTTCCAATACATACAAAGGGAATAAACATGTGTATAGCAAAACATGTGTTAATGCAATACCTTTTTTGTGTGAAATACTTGATTTTCAGGAAAAATATCAAGGGTGCCAACAATTTCGGCCATGACTGTATATAAGTACCTCTATAATAAATAAATCTCATGCTAGTAAGAAAATTCATTTTTTCTTGACAATTGCTTAGAATACATACAATATAGTCTATCTAGAAGTGGACTATTACTACACTATGAATTTGTACTTGATACAAAGCAGGGCCAATATTTCTTTAAGACAGCTACCATTAAATCTAAAATGCATTGCACATTATTGCTTTTTTCCAGAGCCCTTACCTCCTGCCCCTTTACCTTTTCTTCGGGCTGTCACAACGGTCTTATGTTTTGCATAGCAATAAGTGTAAGGCATAGGTGTCTAAGTAAAATGTCATACACTTTAGATTGCATTAAACATGATAAGCTCTTCCCCAGTGATCTGAACTGTGTTCATCCCTGTCATCCTTTCAGCAGCAGCGGAATCTAGTTTCCTCAAACTGTAGAACAAAGAAAATCAGCACCGCCAGTAAGAATGAGATGACTGGTCCTTTTCACAGCTGGGTCTACATCGCTGTCAAATACGGTGATAAAATGCGCTAATTAATCTTTGAGGAGTTATGAGTACCTGGAAGGCTTATTAGAATTGTGACTAGATAGGTGGCACAAGTGTGAACTCAAAGGGACTTTGAAATCTGAAAGCCCTAAGGGAATATGTGTTCTGCTGTTCCTTGATATGTACACTGGATTTGGTGTATCTGCTGAGTTCTGAGCTCATTCCTTTCATGTGGAGCATTTAGGACCTCAGACAGAGGAAAAGTAAAGGTTTTAAATGGCATTAGTATTGGCTTTGGATGGATCCCAAATACTCCTGTTCCTTTCTCTCTTTTAACACAAATAGCATAAGTGAAGTGAGAAGGAGGAACCATTACACACATGCATCCCAGCGTATATATTTTTTTCCTTTGGTATATGTCCTCTCAATTGCACACATTTGAGCTTAACTCCAGTTTATAGCAGTACTATGAGCCCAAAGGGTGGTTCACAGCTCTTTGGTCCACAGGTAGTGGTTTAACGGCATCCAGCAGCAGCAGAAAGGAAGTCTTTAGGGGAGAGTGCCGAGTCGGAGGTGATCACTGTACCAAAAGGCACTTATTTTTCAGATGTACTAGGCAATGGATTTGTCATGTTTTACTTTAAAGTGTAGTTAGACTAGACATGTGCAGTTCATTTCGTTCTGAATTGAAATTCAGAAGAACTTTTCATTATTAGGAAATTTGTATTTATCCAAATTTCCGAATACAGAAGTGCCCAGGCTGTATCCTTGGATAAGGGTCTGGTATGGATTTTGGGGGGGACCACACACTGTTTTT